ATTGTGAGCCTGCGGTGTGACACAAGAGACATGAAAGCAGCGCTGGTGTTAGTTACCTAAGGGCTGAACGACGCGATTGATCACAATCAAGTATTTCAGAATGCTGCGTGATTAAAAAAATTTTTAATAAAAAATATTATTTAACAGTAAGATTAAGCAAGTTCTCTGAATCTGAAGGAACAGTGATGTAATCAAATTCATGCTGTATGTCTACCGCCTGTCAGAAATGTCTTGCTGAACCTTTTCAAACTGCAGCGCGTTAAGTCCTGCTGAACAGCTCTTTCACACAGTGCTTACGCAGATGGTGACCCAGACAGTGCGGAGACCTCAACCTAAGCTCCGAGTCCTTCAATTATCACATTGCATGCAAACAATACACTGCATCCTTTCCCCATTGACTGTACTGTCTGGGCTTCAGGAACCCTCACAGAGAGAGCACTATTTAAAGCAAATATTGAATGCTTTAAGTGCATGACAACGATTTAAGTGCGTCACTGCGCTGCATTAAATAAGATAAAATCTTGTTAAAGTCAAATCAAGGTTTATAGTTGGAAGGGGAAAACTTTAAGCTGGATAAATTGTGCAAATATTAAAGAGAACACTGAAGAAAATAACTTTAATCTTCTTTAAATTCCATTTTTGTCCAAAGATCAAACATTCTTAGGCATCTTTTTCCCCTTTTATAGTTCTACTTCAACTTCAACAATCAACATTGAAGTACCAGCAGAAACAGATTAAACCATTCTTTTCTGAAGACAATAATGAAAACTTCTTTTAACCCAGTGTCGCAAATGTCTTGATGAGGACTAAAATCTGTAGGATGTTCATATTACTATTTTTTGCAATATGTATATTGTGCAAATACATACCTGTACACAAAACACACAACTTAAAATATGCCACACAACAGATCACACAGTGCAATGTGCTTTACCGCTTAAACCTATCAAATTTCATGATTTGATCAAATAGCCAAAGTTAGTACATTTTTACACTAACTCATAAGACTATTTGAAATTAAAAATTTAAATGTAAAAACAGGTTATTTTTAAGATGGGAACTGGGCACCACTCACTGAATTAAATGCTTTAGCATATACTAATCAATGCACAATTTCCACCAAATAAGAAAAGAACATGCTTTGGTAAATCTTTTTAAAAAATTAAGACAAAATTATGAGTCAATTATGAGATGAAAAGCCAAAATGAGATATTAAGTCATAATTATGACAAAGTTGAAATTGACAGTCAATTGCGATTAAGTCAAAATTGAGATACAATTATGGTACAAAACTGACAGTTGATATTGAAAGTCTAAAACGAAAGTCAATTGACATAAGTGGAAATGAGTCAATTATTAAATGAAAATCAAAGTAAGATACAAAGGGAAAAAAAATGACAAAAAAAAAAAACTAAATTGAGATGTCAATTATGAGAAGCTGAAACTGACAAATCAAAACTGAGATAAAGTCATAATTGATGCAAGTTAAATCATGACAATCGATTAGATCAAGTCAAAATTGACTTGTCAATTGTCATAACTCACACTAATAATTGAGACACTAAGTCATAAATTGAAATTGACAAGTTGAAAGTGACAGTCATAATTTTAAATTGAAATTATGATGAAGTCATAATTATGAGAAAAAAGGCAAACATTGAGTTCCACTGAACTATGAAATTCTACTAAATAACTATTATTGATCCAGTAAACAGCAACCAAACACTGATGTTAGGCACTCTGACGTAACTGTAAAACAGAAAGGCACAACACAGGCTGCTAGAATTGCTCTCTGGGGAAAATTAATTGAAGGACAGAATATATTTGCAAATCATGAATAGTATACAGCAATCCAGAGCAAGGGCAGAGAACCACACTCATACAACACCACAATTTTCTGCTCCAAAAGATCCATTCATGTCCAATTTTATTATCTAAGCATAGCCTATGACCCCATTAAAACCGGAT